ACACATTTGAGACTGCCTCCGTCCATTTTACCAAAAACACTGCCGTGACTGTGTTTAGTGTCAACTTGGGTGGCCACAAGGGAGGCTTGCTTGTGTAGACAGCAGGTGAGTTGTGGCCCGCATATCCTGATTTTAGCAGGAGAATACAGCTTGATAGCATCTCCTCTCCGGGCTGTGCTCACTGGGCCGTCACCTGTCCCATTCCATGGCTCGTGCTAATGGCACAGATCTCAGTGGCTCCTCTGCCACTGCCTGGCCAGGGCACCCCTGTTCTGGCATCACAGAGGTCAGGTCTGCACCCGGCTTGGTGCAGGGTGTGGCACAGAGTGCTTGGCAGCCCTGAGCTATCTTTCTCGAGTGCTTTAGCCTGCACACTTTCCGGCAGATGCCCAGCGTCATGAATGCAGAGTTCTTAGGGGGACCATGGAGAAGCATGGCTTCGGAAACAGCTTTGCATGGCATTTTGGTGACAGATCTTTTTTTTTTTTTGAGATGGAGTTTCACTCTTGTTACCCAGGCTGGAGTGCAATGGCACGATCTTGGCTCACCGCAACCTCCACCTCCTGGGTTCAGGCAATTCTCCTGCCTTAGCCTCTTGAGTAGCTGGGATTACAGGCATGCACCACCATGCCCAACTAATTTTTTGTATTTTTAGTAGAGACGGGGTTTCACCATGTTGACCAGGATGGTCTCGATCTATCGACCTCGTGATCCACCCATCTCGGCCTCCCAAAGTGCTGGGATTACAGGCTTGAGCCACCGCGCCCGGCCATGGTGACAGATCTTTAACCATTTGCATCCTGAGACATGGGTGCTGAGCCCTGGGCCAGTTCCTAGGAGACAGCCATGGGCCCCTGCGCCAGCCTCATAGTGAGGCTGCCACACAAGCTCAGGCCACAGCTGTGCAGCCTGTGGATGCCAGCCTGGGCCTGTGGTTCACTCACCGGTAGCCAAATCGGCTTCATGGAAGAGCTGGGCCATTCATTTATTTAATGACTCTGAATTAATGCTGTTCCTCTCCCCACTCCAGGGTACATGTCTGCGGGGGATACTGGCAGGCTCTCACTTTCCTCTTCATGCAGCAACTTTCACTTTCCTCTTCATGCACCAACTTTCCCCAGTCCCTGTCCCTTACTTAGATGGCCCTCGGGGCAGGTGGCAGGAGTCTGCCCGGAATCCCTCCCTGGAAAGTCGGGGAGGAGCCAACTCTGAAAGGGGTTTCTTCGGGGGGCCACCTGCTCGCTTGCTCCCTGCCTCTGCTGACATCCGCTGTGCATATTGAAACTTTGTGTTCCACGTGACCCAGTTGCTCACACAGGAAGCCGATTACTCATTCACTACATTTCCCTTTCGCTGTGTGAGATGCGGCTCTAAAACTGGAATCTTAAATAAACACGCTGAGTGATCTCGATTCAGCAAACACAGCATGGCTGTGTATGTGACGCTACGCTGGGTTCCAGGCCCTGCCCTCAGAACTCACTTTCTGAGGAATGGGTATGGCTTTAAGTGCAGTGGGCCTGCCAGCCCTGGGTCCCGGGGAGCCATTGCCCCTCCCAGCAGCAGCTAAGGTCCCTTCCAACCACAGGCACACCTTGATTTATTGCCCTGCACAGATAATATGTCCCCTCTTCCTTCCTTCCTTCCTGCCTTCCTTCCTTCCTTGCTTCCTTCGGTCGTGCCTTCGGTCCGTCGTTCCTTCCCTCCGCCTCCCTTTTTTCCTTCCTTCCCTCCCTCTCTTCCTCTCTCCCTCTCTGCCCCTCTGCCTCTCTGCCTCCCTCCCTCTGTTCCATTATTTACACACAATACTATTACCCGCTTTCTAGGCTGCAGTATAGTGCAAACAGAATTTTATATGCACTGGGACACCTAAGCATTGGCGTGATGTGTTTTATTGTGTTGGAACCGAGCTTGCAGTGTGGCTGAGCTGTGCTGTGCTAAGATCCTGGGATTCCTGAATGAAAGAGGATTTGCCTTTTTGTTCCCAAGGGTTTCAACCTCCAGTGCAGAGACAAGACTAATACTTATGGAAACATCTGGAAACCCATTTAAAATACGACTGGTTAGTTGCTGGGTGGGACATGTGGCAGGGCGTGCCGCCTGTGGCCTCAGGAGGAGGTGCCCATGGGGTGTCTGGGGAGAGTGTCCATGGAGAGGTGAACCTCGATGGCTCCTTGGAGCATTCTTGGAGGCTGGAGGAGATGGAGGAGGGTGCTGCCAGCAGGCCTGGTGGTAGTGGGTCTTGGATGCAGAACAGGGATTTGGGACTCGGCTGTTGGACTGGACAGGCAGCGGGAACCAGGACCCGTTCTGTGAGTGCCAGTGCAGTGGCATGTTCTCCGTGAGGGCATCCTGGATGCCTCCTCCTCACAGGCTTCCATTTCTTCAACAGAGAGCACTTAGAGAATGTGTCACCAGGTGGAATTAGAATTCCCTTTAGAATAATCCATGTCAAATGGGATGAGTGCGTGTGTGGCCCATCCATGTCTTGTGGCCTCTTGTTCATTTGGTTCCCATCTTGGTGCATTATTCACCTGCTGGGGCCAGGGGCTCACAGCCGGGGGTGGGGGCATTGGGCAGCCAGTGCCCTTCATGTCGTCCCCTCCTTCCTTGTGCACGGGGGCCGCGTCTGCACACTTCTGCTCTGTCTCCCTCCTTGTGCACGGGGGTCGCATCCACACACTTCTGCTCCGTCTCCTCCTTGTGCACGGGGCTGCGTCCGCACACTTCTGCTCCGTCTCCTCCCACACGCTTTGGCTTTGATCCTTCAGCTTGTATCTGCAACTTACGTGTGGGACTCCCTGTGCGTGATCAGAGTAGATTTCAGGCACCCCGAAGGCTCAGGTCTGCAGAGCTGTCCTCGGCAGTGGAAGTGTCTTCCCGAAGGTTCGGGAAGGTGGGCCCCCCAGCCCCTCTGCGTGGAAAACTTTTACATCTTTAACTTGTAATTTCATATTCCATATGCCTTCACGTGAAGTATCAGTATTTTCATAATTAAAAGCTAGAAGCAAGAAAGGACTCTCTTAGGAAATTGCAGATTTTATGAATTACCCCTGCATTTTCTCATTGCCTTTATTCACAGAGGTTGCAACCACTGGCTGTGTGCAGGTTTCCCGTCTCCCACGGCAGGTGTTGCAGAGGAGGAGGTCTCCAGGGAGGCTCCTTAGGAGAGATAGGGTGAGCCTGAGCCCTGGACCCGGGCTGCATCTGTGCTGGGACTCTGCTTGGGGCCCGGGTGGAGGAGCCTGGTTTGGAGCCGGCCTCGCAGCTCTGCTTCACCTGAGTTACTTGTGTTCCAGCCCCAAACCTCGCAGCCAGCAGTGTGCCCCTTTGGGGTGTGGTTGTGAGGCTTGGTTAAGTAATTGCATGAGCACCTTGTAAGCTGGGAGTCACCAAAGGACAGTGACTCTCCTCCCTGAGGGGAACATGCCCTACCCTGGAATTGAGATTGGCCATGGGGCCGGATTCCTGGGCTGTCTGGAATTTTCTGGGAGCCGTCTCACTGGGTGGTTGGAGCCGCCTGAGAACAGGGCCACGTGTGGGTGAGCACTTTGTTCTGCTCCAGTGTTGCTGTACGGAGAGGCTCAGTTGGCCCTCAAGGGAGTGGCCGGCTCCACTGACCTACCTGGACTGTGGTGTCCACTCCTGGTCACCGTCAGAGTCCGTGCTGGGAAGGATCTCAGTGAGCTGCTGAGCTTATGAAAAGCCGTCAGAGCCATCCTGTGGATGACCGACACGTGGAAACCGTCTGCATGTCATGGAAGCTGCTTAAGGACTTGCTTTTTTTTTTGAGATGGAGTCTCATGCTGTCACCCAGGCTAGAGTGTAGTGGCACAATCTTGGCTCACTGCAACCTCTGCCTCCCAGGTTCAAGTGATTCTCCTGCCTCAGCCTCCTGAGTAGCTGAGACTACAGGTGCGCACCACCACACCTGGCTAATTTTTGTATTTTTAATAGAGACGGGGTTTCACCATGTTGGCCAGGCTAGTCTCGGACTCCTGACCTCAAGTGATCTACTTGCCTTGGCTTCCCAAAGTGCTGGGATTACAGGTGTGAGCCACCATGCCTGGCCCGACTGGGTTCATTTTGTAGGCTTGGCCCAAGGCATGGCGCCCAGCACACTGGGGCACGGGCTATGTGCCATTGATGGGATGGAGTGTTGTGGAAGCCTGTAGATGTGTCATGTATGAGGTCAGGACAGCTTGGTGGAAGACCAAGCTGCTGTGATCATTTCCAAATGGTATAACTCAGTGAGCTTGATAACCTTTAAAGCATGTTAGTTTTCTCATAGGAAACAAAATAAAAAACAAGTAATTCGAGGAGTCTCTGGGTGTTTCTAGGTCCGAAATACAGTAAGAACAGCTCCTACTATTTGTAGTAGAGTACTTTATCTTTCTGGTGAATGTCAATGGGGATTGAAGTACAGGGGATTTGTTTTAAATGGAGAAGGTTTTTTTTTTTTTTTTTTTTTTAAGCGGACATTTGAGTGAAAATTGGAAGTATTCTATTATTGGAAAATACTTATTTTTCTAAACATGCGTTTTGAATTGTACTAACATGGAGCCACTAAGAACTTGAGTTAGGATGAATTTTCTACTGCTTATGTATAATGAAAAGCATTTCCTGAGTAAATGAATAAGCAGCAATGAGGGAGGGGCACCACCTTGACACTTTTGGGCTCTCTGCCTTGTCTCCCTCGCTGCTAATTCAGGCTGCGTGGTCTGTCCATTGTCTCTACGTGGTCTGTCCAGTGTCTCTACGTGGTCTGTCCAGTGTCTCGGACAGGAAGAAAGAACAGAAATGGATGTAGCAAGTTTAAGTTGTTATGATAAATTTTGAGTAAATTATTGGCTTAACGTTGAGACTCCACCTCTGTGGAATGCCATATTGGCCTGGACATGAATGGAAAGAGCAGAGGGGGCGTGTGGTGGCTGGGGCCGAGGGGTGGGAGGGCCGCGGAGCAAGCGTGCTCCCCATAACGGCTGTTCTCTCTGCCATTCCAGCACTTGCGCCTCCTGCACCGCCGCCACCCCCCATCCAAGGATATGCCTTCAAGCCTCCACCTAGACCCGACTTTGGGACCTCCGGGAGAACAATCAAATTACAGGCCAATTTCTTCGAAATGGACATCCCCAAAATTGACATCTATCATTATGAATTGGATATCAAGCCAGAGAAGTGCCCGAGGAGAGTTAACAGGTATCACATTTCATCCTTCAGTGACCTGCGTAAGTGGTCTGCGAGGACAGACACGGTGTTTAAACTGATAACTCTTACATTCTCAGCCAGCTCCATCTGACTTTTTTCCAGAATGTTTCTGCTGTATTTGGTTTTCAGAGTCAAACCTATGGACTGCAAACAAAACCAAAAAAGAGGAAAAGGTTTTTTATTGAGATACAATTTCAGGATAGTGAAATACTTACATCATAAATGTACAACTCAAAGAACTGTGACAAATGTATGTACTGGTCACCCTAGAAAGTTGCCTCATACCCTCTTCTAGTCGTCCCCAGACCCTGAAGTCACAGCGTTCTCGTGTGTGTCACGGATTGGTTTACGGGTTCCTATACTGCCACAGCCTGAATACAGACCGCTCCTACTCAGCAGAATTCCCGACACCCACCTGCGCCGTTGTGTGTATGCTTCTCATCCTCCTGTAAACGCTTGGGCAGTCCAGGCTGTGACCATTAGGAACAAGGCTGCTGTGGACACTCTTGTTGAAGTTCTTTTTGTGGAGGTGTTTTCATCTGTCTTAGGTGAATACCTGGGAGTAGAACTGCTGGGTGGAGGGGCAGGTGTGCATTTACCTGCATGTGAACCCGCCACATGAATGCCGCTTCCATGTGCCCACCCGTTTTCCCCCCGTCAGCTCTGCTGGGTATTCCCGAGGCTGCCCACCCCCACCGGTGCTCAGTGTGGTCAGATGTTTTTATTTTTGTGTTTTGGCGGGTGGGCAGTGGCTTCTCATCGTGATTTTAATTTTCATTTCTGTGGTTACTGATAAGCTGAGCATCTTTTCATGTGTATATATGTTACTTTCATCGATTAAGTGACATTATTTCTAGCAAAGTGTTGAAGTCTTTTGCCCATTTTGCTGAGTTTCTTGTCTTGTCGTTATTGATTTGTGAGAGTTTTTATTATATTCTAGATGCAAGTTGCATTTGTCAGGGTCCTCCAGCGTGACAGAACCAATAGGATAGAGGGACGGTCTCATACCATGTGACAACATTTGACCAGTGACAGAACACATATACCACAGTGGTCCCAAAAGATGATAAGGGGGCTGGAAAATTCCCAACACCAGTGCCCTCATAGCCAACATAGATGTTGTCGAGCAATGCATGACCCTTTCTTAATTCGCTCTTGTTACCCAGGCTGGAGTGCAATGGTGCGATCTCGGCTTACCACAACCTCCGTCTCCTGGGTTCAAGCAATTCTCCTGCCTCAGCTGCCCGAGTAGCTGGGACTACAGGCACGCGCCACCATGCCCAGCTAATGTTTGTATTTTTAGTAGAGACGGGGTTTCACCTTGTTGACCAGGATGGTCTCGATCTCTTGACCTCGTGATCCACCCGCCTCGGCCTCCCAAAGTGCTGGGATTATAGGCATGAGCCACCGTGCCCGGCCCGATTTTTTTATTTTTTATTTTGAGACGCAGTCTTGCTCTGTTACCCAGGCTGGAGTGCAATGGCATGATCTCGGCTTACTGCAGCCTCTGCCTTCTGGGTTCAAGCAATTCTTCTGCCTCAGCCTCCTGAGTAGCTGGGATTACAGGCACCTGCCACCACACCTGGCTAATTTTTTTTGTATTTTTAGTAGAGACAGGATTTTACCATATTGGTCAGGCTAGTCTGGAACTCCTGACCTCAAGTGGTCTGCGTGCCTCAGCCTCTCAAAGTGCTGGGATTCCAGGCGTGAGTCACTGGACCTGGCCTAGGAGTATTTAGATGCACACATGCTTACCATGATGTTACAGCTGTCTGCAGTGTTCAGCAGTTACATGCTGTACACATTTGCGGCCTAGGTGTGCGGTAGACTGTGCCTCCTGCGTGTATAGAGATACGGTCTATGACATTCACAGTGCAATGAAGTTGCCTAAGTGAATTTCTCAGGCCATATCTCCAGCGTTAAGGCACGCATGACTGTACCTGTATCTGTAGATGTGAGAGGGGATTTATTAGGGGAATTGGCTTTTTTTATTGTAGAGGCCAAGATGTCCCACAGCAGGCCATCTACAGGCTGGAGACCCTGGAGTGTCAGTAGTGGGGTTCAGGCCAAGTCTGAAAGCCTTATAACCAGGGATGCCAAAGACCCGGAACCCACGGGGCTGCTGTTAACTCCTGGATCCCAAAGGCCAGGGGGCCTGGAGTTCTGATGTCCAATAATGTCCCAGCCACAGCAGGGAGAGAGGAAATCACTCCTTCTCTCCTTTTTGTTTTTCCTATCTGGGCCCCCAGCTGTTTAGAAGGCATCGCTCACACTGGGGGCAGATCCCTACCTGGTCCCTGACTGACACGCAGTCCCTGCTGGAAGCAGCCACAGACACACCCAGGAGTCACATGTTACCAGTTCTCTGGATTATTCTTTAATCTTGACACGTTAGCACCTAAAAACCACCATCATGTAAGTTTATACTGGGAATATTTTCTTCTAGTCCAAAGCTTGTCATCTCACCTTCCTAATGGTGTCTTTCTTTTAATGAGCAGAACTTTTCAGTTTTGTTGGAGTCTAATTTATAGATTTTTTAAAAATAGCTGTTACATAGTGTATTCTTTCTAGGAAATTTTTGCCTACCTAGGGATCATAAAGATATTCTCCTGTTTATATTTTAGAATTATAGTTTTCACTTGCATATTTAGTCTGTGATCCATCTTGAATTAATTTTCATGTATGGTGTGAGGTAAGGGTCCGTTAAATACTTTTCTTTCCCCTTCTGATTTACCTTTCGACCTTTGGGAAAAAATCATTTGATTGTACGGGTTGAACTTCCCTTATTCAAAATGATTAGGACTAGAAGCGTTTCGAGTGTTCGTATGTTCATTCATTTGGATTTTAGAACATTTCCATTATGCTTATCAGTTGAGCATCACAGATCTGAAAACCTGACACCCAGAATGTTCCGATGAGCATTTCCTTTAAGCATCGTGTTGGTGCTCATAAAGTTTCAGGTTTTGGAGCATTTTGGATTTGGGGTTTTCAGATTGGGGCACTCAGCCTGTGTATATGTGTGGACCTATTTCTGGACTCTCTTATGTGTTGCCTTCAGGCCAGGAACTCTTGGTCATTTGAACTGTAGTTAAGGGGTAAGGCTTGAAATCCGATCACATAATTCCTCTAAACTTGTTGTTCTTCACAATTGTTTTAGCTGTTCTGGATCTGTTGCGTTTCCAAGTACATAAAATGATAAATATAAACAACGCATCAACTTCTGCTAGAAAGTCCCTTCACATTTTTTTTGTGGTTGCTCTGAATCTAAAGTATGTTATGTTCTTTGTTGCCATTGTAAATGGTTGTGTAAATTTGTCTTTCCCTGGAACGGTGGGAAGTGACCGCCGTGGAGTACGGTGTTGCTTTCCGGGGTGGTGAAAGTGTTCTAAGCCGTGGTGACAGTTGGAAAACTCCCAATATGCTGAGAGACAGAATGTCTGGGGACATAGCCATAAAACCAAGCCATTGAATTCACCCAGCGTGTCCGGAATATGTCGAGAGTTACATGAGATTCTCTATGCACTTACTAAAACATATTTCTGAACAAAAGCTGTGTGCACCGCTGGGTTAAGCAGCTTTCTTTGCTAAAGGTGCTCCTAGATCTTTTAGTATATCTCATGCTGTGTGGCTCTCCATCAGTGAGACTGCTGCTTTGTTTTTGCATTTCCCTGGAATAGAACCTTGTGTGAATGTGTGGTTTAGCGAGTACTTAGAACCAGAAGGAGGACATGAAACAGCATGCACATTTCCCCTCTCCCTCCCTCCCTCCCTCCCTCCCTCCCTCCCTCCCTCTCTCCCTCCCTCTCTCCCCTTCTCAGTCTTTGTATCTCAAGGAGATGGATAGGATGACTACTCCGAAATTTTAAAAACCCGGCAACAAAAGACACCATCTGAAGATCAGCAGGAAGTGGCGGGTTAGAGGAGTGGAGGTCCCAGGCTGACCTCCAAGCCCCGAAGCACAGGCAGCTAAGTAGCAAGTGTTAAGGGGTAAGCGCTGAGGTACCTGAGGACTGTCTGGACTTCTCCACTTGGTGGCTACACTGTATACAGATAAGGGACAGATCTCAGAGACACAGCAAGCCTTGCAAGTGTGGGTTTGATACCATGTGTATAAAAAATAATAAAACAATGTATTTGCAGGTACCTGTGTATTTATGTGAAAGCACAGGCTTGAAAAGGATAAGATTACTTCTTAGAAGGGGATTCAGATGAGTGGGTAGTGTAAACAGACTTCTGGCTTTTTTTTTTTTTTTTTTTTAACTTTTGAAACGGGGTCTCGCTCTGTTTCTCAGGCTGGCGAAGTCATGGCTCGCTGTAGCCTCGACCTCCCAGGCTCAAGCGATCCTCCCACCTCAGTCTCCCAAGTAGCGGGACCACTGGCACGCACCCCCACTCTCCACTACTTTTTAAATATTTTGTAGAGACGGGGTCTGTCTGTGTTGCCCAGGCTGGGACTTCTAGCTCTATCAGTTTGTGAAACTTAACAATGAGAACATGTTGAGGCAAAAGCTGTGTGATGAGAAGTTAATGAAAGAATGGCGTCTGTGAAAGAGGGAAGCTCTCAAAATCACGTCCAAAGGGCAGGCAAGAGAACGGGCATGCACTTGCTTCTCTGCCTCAGCAAGTGTGCTCTGCTTCTGAGAGGCGGCCCTGGCCCTGTGTGGGGTGCTGCTTGGCACTGCCCCTGCCCTGGGTGGTGACCGGGGAGGGAGCTGGCCCCGCTCAGGTACTTGGCAGAGCGAGTGCTAACAACTTGACCGCTGGCAGATGGGATGCGTGCAGATGGGCTTCTGGCTCTACCTTTTTTGGAGGTCAAGGGCCAGCCTGAGACCTGGGCAGCCAGCAGAGCTGGCTGTCTGTAAGCAGGCTCCCTCGCTTGCTTTCCAGTGCCTGCACTGGATCGAAACCAACAGCCAGACTCAGGGACTCCGGGAGTAGCATCCATGTTGGCTCCTGGGGCTGGCCGGGGAGTTAGAGCCTCACGGGTGCAG